GCGTAGCTTCCTCTGTCAAGCCTTGCAATGAAGAGAAATGGCCTTTTCCCATCCCTCCCAGCCGGGATCCTGAAGTCCACTCAGATTAGACCACCTTCAACCGTAGGAAACCACAATTTTTGAAATTCACTAATTGACTTAATCTGGGCCCATGTTTCACTCCTGGAGCTGGGGCTGAGTTGATTTCAGCAGATGGATCCCTACAGAAACCCAACTGGATCCCTACACAAAAATGGGTGGCTGTAGGCAAGGAAGGAGTAGGTGTGAGGGAAACCACAAAAACAGCAGCAAAACCGACCACTGCCTTCCAGTCAGTTCTGACCTGTGAGCAGCCCCATGTAGGACAGAGTAGGGTTTCCAAGACTACATCATCTTTACAGGCACAGCTGGACTCATCTTTCTCCGGAGGAGGGGATGGTGGGTTTGAACCCCTGACCTCGCAATCACCAGCTTAACCCAGAGTGCCACCAGGACTACTTGATTTAAGAAAGTAATCGGAAAATGTACAGTAGACTGTGATTAATGCTTTCTCTTAACATTTTTGTTTCTAAAAGAAGAAAATTTTTTGTTTCTAACCAACAGGAAACAAATTCCACTTTATATTCAGCATCAAAGTAAATCCAAACATTTTCCATCTTAATTATTGGAATGATATTGAAAGTATTTTATTCTTTAAAAGAATAACTAGAAATAATTGCAAGACGATGTACTAAGCATTTGGCTTAGTAAGCTTGCATTCTTTCAAAAAAACATCGATCATCATCAACTTGCATAGTTAGAAAGCTAAATGATAACTTCTTTTGAAAATAAGCGACTAAATAAATAGTATTAGTTAGCTTTCTTTAGATAGCTCCAGAGTGGATCTAGGTTTGACAGTACCTGAAGCAAAAATAATGGAGGGTGGTATGTTCCTCTTTAAGAAAAAGAATGTAGTTAGTCACAAATGGGAATATTTAGAATGAGAAATTATAAAATCCTGAAAAATAATAATGTATTTATTAATTGCCTATAAATTTGTATAATCCTTTTTTCCCTGTGTTATATTCTTCCTCTTGATGTGATAACTTCATCTCACTTAATTAGATTCAAAAATTAAACCCGTCTTTCCTCTAGCTAAAGTAATAAAAATGTCCTTTATATTATGGATCAGAGAGAGACTGTAAGATTTCAAGACATGGGGCTGATAACCCAAGGTTAGCCATTGAAACCCACTAGCTGCTCCTTGGGAGAGAAACGCTACCTGCCCCCAGAGAGTTCGGCCTTGGAACCCTGTATGGGGTTGCTGTGAATCTCAATTGACTCAATGGCAGTGGGTTTGTTTGGAAGTTTGGGGGTATGATTAATACGCTTTGAATGAATAACATGAATTAATGGTCTTACTGTTATCTGGTGGTATGTTATTTTTTATTAACTCGAATGCTGTCGGTATGCAATGTAAATCAGCCAGAAATGTAAGTCTTTTGATTCATTCCCTCTCATGAATAGCAATATACAATCATAACAGAGTCCATTCCTTGCTCCTACTCAGAATTTTGGCTTTCACATTTTACAAGGATAAAGGTTCCCGGCACATATTATATTTCCTCGTGCATTTCCAAATGGCAGCGAAACCGTTGGATTCCCAGCTCTGCTTCTCCCCAAATGCCTTCAGCTACTCCCCGCGAGATAGACTGACACGTGCTGCAAAGGTGGGTTCAGAACCAATAACTGTGAGATGGTGCAGGCCGGCCAGTGCTTCCTTTTGTTGTGCACTGGGGCACTGCTAGTTGGAACTGGCTGGATGGCACAAAGCACAGCCATTCTAACCTAACCAGTAAAGGGAAAGTGGAGGTGCGAAAAGACTTATACTTTACAATTAAAAAAACAACAACCTTGGAAGGACACCTCCCAGAGCCTAGCACAGGCATGCACATGTGAGGTTTAAACCTCATCAGTTTCACAACCGGAACTTCTAATGTCGGCCACTTTTGCCACCCACACGAGCTCGTCTCATTCGAATCTTCTGCTCCAGAAGACCAGCTCCCCTCGCTCAGGATGCCTGGGATTGCCGCTGTGGTCAGCGTCCTGAGTTTACCCATGCACCGGGAAAGGAGGTACTGCCTAGTCTTGAGCCAGCATGGAGCCTGGTTTGGATTAGATCGGGCCATCCACCGGGCTTTCCCCAACTTTATCTGGAAGTAGATCCCCAGGTCTGTCTTCCTGGCCTGGCTGACCACTCTGCTGAAACTATTCAGCATGGCACACACTTCCGCCGACAGACAGCGAGGGCATTCCTAGAGGTGCAGTATCCAGGAATCAGCCATCTGGAAGGCAGGAATTCTACCATCAAACCACCAGTGGCTTAGCAGAACTGGAATTGGACGGATTTTTACCACACGGAACTATTATAAAGTCATCTCAGCCGACCTTGATGGAGGGATCCACGTTGTACTCCTCCCAGGGATGCAAACGTGGCCGACAACAGCGAAGAAGAACCGTGTGCGCATGTCCCCGCCCCAGCGCCCTCCTGCGGACTGGGCCCCCGCTG